ATGTGCCCAAGACCATGCATAGGGTTGGTAGACAAGTGTATTGGTATGTTCTGTAAGAATTTCCAGGTATATGGTAGAGATGATAAGGGGCAAGGTTGTTGTCACTTTTGGGACACAACCAGCTACTCACAGGGAGCAAGTTGTTGGACCTGTGGGCTTGGGACCATAGTCACAGGGGACATCAAGCTCAACTGGCATAACATAATACCTAAAACATTGTTCCACATCCTACTTTGATAGTGACAGGAATCTTCAAAGCTTGCAAGTGGCCATCTAGGCAATGATGGGTCTCTCCTCATCCAGAGCAAAGAAGAATGAAGAAAACCAAAGCTTCATGGAAACAATTAATCCAGGGGACTGGTACACCATGAGATCCTCAGCCCATGAGACCGGAACTCAATCGTGCCCAGCTACCACTGTCTATCAGTTGGAGGGGTATCTATGTAGGAGATCCTGGATAGAGAGGGAGAACAATGTGGAACAAAGCTCAAAATCATTAGGAAAAAAAAAAAAAAGTCCAGGTTTGCTGGTCTGATAGAGCCTGATGGAACCACTGAGACTATGGCCCCTAGCTGCCCTTCAGGTCTGGAATTGAACCCATACCTGTGGCTTCCAGCCAAAGAAAAGCTGAACATTTACATTAGGTAGATCCATTCCTTGGAAAGAACAATCATGGGCGCATAGAAGGGCTGTGTATGCACAAGGAGAGAGCTTGGAGGGCAGGAGTACATGGTAGGGAAGGACACAGGGAAGAGGTAACTATGGGGAGGATATGGGGAGGAAGTAGGAGGGGAGCTGTTACATTGTGGGAAATTGAAGTCAATGTCACGAGACAAAGTATATATGAGCTGCTGTATGGAAAGTGAATTTGCTCTATAAACTTTCACCCAAATCACAATAAAATTAAACAAAAAAAAGTCAACTTCTATGTGTTCTTTCATTCATGTGCTTGCTCCTTTCTCATTTTGCCTTATCTGCGTACTACCTGTACAATTGCTTCTTGTTGTTGTTGTTGTTGTTTGCCGTTGAGTCGTCCCCGACTCTTAGCGACCCCTCCTTGGGTTTCCAAGGCAGTATCACTACGGAAGTAGGATTGCCCAACCTTCCTTCCGAGGAGTGGCTGGTGGATTTGAACCGCCAGCCTTCTGGTGAGCAGTCAAGTGCCTTAGGCACTATGCTACCAGTACAATTGCTTAGTTCATACTTTTTCTCTAAATGGACTCACTTTCTTTATATCAGTACAATAAATAGAAAAGAGGTATATCTGGACATAAGGAGAAAATAACCTTAACAATTAACACATCAGTAATTGAAAGCAATGACTCAGACATATACTTGCACACCACTGTTCATAGTGGTACTATTCACAAGGGCCAAAAAGTACAAAAAACTCTAGTGCCCATAAACAGATGAATGGATACACAATATGTGATATATCCACACAATGGAGTACTATTCACCCATAAAAAAGAAATGGAGTTCTGATACATGCTACAATGTGGACAAATCTTAAATACATTATACTCAGTGAAAGAATCCAGACACAAAAGGCACTATCTAAAATAGACTAATTCATGGAGAAAAAAGTAGATTAGAAGTAATCAGGGGCTGCAAGGAGGGCAAACTGGGGAGTTATTATTTAATGGGTACAGAATTTCTTTTAAATCCCACCTACTGCCGTCGAGTCGGATCCAACTCATAGCGACCCCTCCTTGGGTTTCCAATGCAGTATTACTACAGAGGTGGTTTGCTCAACCTTCTTGCCACGGAGTGGCTGGTGCGTTTGAACCGCCAGCCTTCTGGTTAGCAGTCAAGTGCCTTAGGCACTATGCTACCAGAGCTCCCAGAATTTCTTTTAGGAGTAATGAAAGTTTTGAAAATAGTTGTGAGTGTTGTACAACATTTTGAATGTAATGCCCCAGAACTGTACAATTAAAAGTGATTAAAATGAAAAATTTTAAGATATATATATTTTACCATAATTTTTTTTTTAAATTGTGATTTGGGTGAAGATTTACAGAGCAAATTCACTTTCCATACAGCAGTTCACATATACTTTATCTCATGTCATTGAACACAGTTTACCACAATGCAACAGCTCCCCTCCCACTTCCTCCCCACAGTTACCTCTTCCCAGTGTCCATCCCTCCATACACTCCTGCCCCCTGAGCTGTCTCCCTGTGCATAAGCAGCCCTTCTTTCTCCCATGATTGTACTCTCCGAGGAGTGTATCTACTTGAGGTAAATGTTCAATTCATGTGCCTGTATTTTGTTTGGCTGGAAACCACAGGTGTAGGTTCAATTCCAGACCTGGAGGGCAGCTAGGGGCCATAGTCTCAGTGGTTCGACCAGGCTCTGTGGGACCAGCAAACCTGGTCCCCACCTTTTTTTTTTTTTTTTTCTCCAAATGATTTTGAGTTTTGTTCCACATTGTTCTCCCTCTCTATCAAGGATCTCCTACATAGATCCCCTTCAAGTGGATGACAGTGGTAGCCGGGCACCATCTAGCCCTTCTGGTCTCATAGCATAATGTTTTTTTAAAAAATTAATGCACATTATTAAGATAAAAATAATCAACCCTGTATTGCCTGAATGTGGAATACCTCATTTTGAGAAATAATGACTGACGCTTAGGTAAGAGCTTAGGCTGTAGAGTCAGATCAGGATTTGAATCCCAGAACCAATACTCAGTCATGTGACCTTGGGTAAGCATCGCATCTTTGCTGACTGGATAAAAAAATTTTATATATTCATATTTCCACATCTTTAATATAAGTCTAATAATAGCACCTTTCTCTTAGACTGATTGTTAGAACTAAGTGCGTTAGTACACATAAACCCTTTATGCAGTGCCGGACACATGATAAATCAGTGAAGGTTAGATGTTCTAAATGAAAGCAGTTCTGGTGATGCAGTGGTTAAGACATCTGGCTGCTAACCAAAAGGTTAGTGGTTCAAACCCACCAGCCACTCTGTGCAAGAAAGATGAGGCAGTTTGCTTCTGTAAAATATACAGCCTTAGAAACCCAATGTGGGTCAGAGTTGACTTGATGGCAGTGAGTTTGGTTTGTTTTTGGTTCTAAATGAAGTAGTGGGTCCAAATGAAAAATTGGAAGAGACCTTTTATATTGTGAAGGATGTTTCTGAAATTGAGATTTTTCTTGGGTTTCTTCTGTCCAGTCTATCAACTCATTTGCTTTGATTCCCCATCAGGTCTTTGGATTCTTGAACTTTATTCTCTGGGCTGGAAACATATGGTTTGTGTTCAAGGAGACTGGCTGGCATTCCTCGGGGCAAAGATACCTTTCTGACCCAATGGAGAAGCACTCAAGCAGCTATAACCAAGGCGGGTACAACCAAGACAGCTATGGCTCAAGCAGTGGGTACAGCCAGCAGGCGAGTTTGGGGCCAACCTGTGATGAGTTTGGCCAACAGCCCAGTGGCCCCACTTCCTTTACCAACCAGATCTAACAAAGTAGCATTTGCATTCTTTTGGAGATCACTCTACCACCTTCCATTTTAGTGGCAGAATTTTTTTAAGAGTTTAAGTAAGTTATTAATGCAGAGAGAGCTGAATGTAAATCAGGGATCTGTAGTCCTCATTAAAGCAGAAAGGCCTGTGTCATGATTAATGGTACTTAGAGATGACATGACAGGAGAAGATATATTATTCATCATAGATGGCTAATTAGAGAGAACCTTGTTATCTACACAGATACTTTCATGGTCATTTTGTATGTGTGTTAAGATACTAGAAGCATTTTATAGCTTAAAGTCTCTTGTATGTAATGTGCAATAGTAAATTAAGTAGCAATGAGTTTTCCTATGCACTTTGATGTCAAAGAAGTTTTAATGATTTCTGTAAGACAATTTGATCTATCACAATGTGCATGTATTATTTTTTGAGTTTTAGGCCCTATAGGACCATGGGTCTCTAAGTATTTGCTGCAGATAATTACTCTGTGTTTTGTTATTGTTTTAATCAGATGAATAAATGCTCGTATGATTTAGTGCATGAATAAGCATTTTTCTCACAAAATGAACATTTGAACTGTACTTATGAAAATTTTCCAGTTTGCACCATAAATTTATAAAATGGACATTTAGAAAATGTATTAAATACTTTGTATACTTTGCAAATCTGTCTTTCTGGTTTTACTGAAGTCTGAACATGTTGTAACAAGTTTTATCCCTATTAATAGATATTCAGTACTATATATGGTAACTTCCCAATATTTATTCTATTTACTTAATGAAATATTTACATTCTTGTAACTTTCTATGGTGTTTGTGATGCTTATCCTATGGGCCATCAATAATAAGACCCAATAACTGTATTGTGTTTATGCAGTGTTGTTTTCTTAGAATAATGGAAGATACAGGTATCAGATCCCATATTTAAGAAGCTGTCCTACTGAAGAACTAATTATAAAGGATGTATAAATCCTGTACTACCAACTAAACTTCTAAATTTTAAATCCTATTTATTTGTATAAATAAATGTTAATACAGTCCTCTAGCCAATTATTTAAAATTCTCAAGTCACAATTCCATGGACTAATTATTAATTCTGATTTGAGTGTTACCCATAAATTAAAAATGGCTTCCATGTGCCACCCTATGAGGTGTCTCTTGAAATATTCCCCCAGAATGTATTTGTTATCAAGTAAATGGCAGTTTTCACATCTCTGTTTTAACTCAGTTGAAACAGCAGGGCCCAGCAGTAAGGGCAAGCTGAGCACCTGTATTTCCAGATAAAAGTCATTATCGATGTATAAACAAATTGTGTGGTCTGTGTTGTTGGAAGCATTTTAGCATAAAAGCAGCCTTGCGTCTTAGATGATATATCTGTAACCAGTTTCTGGATCCCATTGGATAAATCAGTATTGTGATATCTATGTATTTGACCTTAATAAAGTTATTGCATACAATGCTAAGTGACTAATGGAGAATTACAATAGAGCACTATTGACTTTAAATGCACAGTGTTTATAATCTTTCTCTCCGTATTTCATAAGTCCAGTGTTGTTTGTTCATTCATTCTACCATTGCAGGACCTACTATGCGCCTGTCACTGTGCAACGCTTTGGGGATATAAGTATGATTGTGAGCAAAAACAGATCCTATCTCAAGAAACTTGCCTTCTATTCAGAAAGACAGATGTTAAAATAATCATGCTACAATTAATTAGGATGTGTGCAATGAGAAATACAAGGGTCCACGAGGGGATGTTCCAGAGGGATTTGAGTTAGGCAGGAGTCTCTGGGTGGTGCAAAAGGTTAACACACTCAGCTGCTAACTGAAAGGCTGGCAGTTTACGTCCACCCAGGGGTACCTCAGCAGAAAAGCCTGGCAATCTATTTCCAAGAAAAGCAGCCACTGAAAACCCCATGGAGCATAGTTCTACTCTGACATGCACAGGGTCACCATGAGTCAGAATTGATTTGGCGGCCACTGGGTTTTCTTTGTTTTGTTTTTCTTTGATCTAGCTAAGGCAGTCAAAGGAGACTGTGGATGGCACAAACAGTCAAGTACTTACTGCTAGCAGAAACATTAGTAGTTCAAACCCACCCAGAGGCTCCAATCTCCTTCTGAAAGGTCACAGCCTCAAAAGCCCTATGGAGAAGTTCTACTCAGCACATATGAGGTCACCATGAGTTGGAATCAACTTGATGACAACTAACAATAACAAGGGCAGTCGAGGACTTTCCTGAGAAAGCAACATGTGAATTTAAGGTCTGAACACTGCATAGTTTTTAAGCAGGCTGGGATAGGAGAGAGAAGTGTTCCCAGTAGAGAGCAGCCTGGCAAGGCTCTCCTAACACTAGGAGGCAAGATGGGCATGCAGAGTCTAGTGAGCAAGGGCAGCTTGGAGGGAGACGAGGCTGCTGGCGAGAGCTTGGGTGAAACCCTGCGCACAGAGGCCATGAGATAGGGCATTTTTTTCTTTATCCTAAAGCTAAGGGAAAGCGCGGAAGGATTTGAGCAGGGAGGGATGTGATGTGATGAGCATTTTGAAAGGATCACAGTGACTGCAGGGTCAAGAGTGGATTGGAAGAGAACAAGAATGAAAGTCATCCTGGGGATAAAGAAATAAGCCTGGACTCCGACATCTATTAGGCAGTGGGCTGGGAGTGGGGGAACGTGAAGTGACATGAGTCTACCTTCACTACTCACCACCACAACCTATTCTCGGTGAGGGTGGCTGGATCTGTTTTCCCCAGCACTGTCCAAGACAACAGTGGCCCCTGCTTCATTATCAGTCATGAATGTCCCAAAGTGGAGAAATTCCCATAGCCAGCAGTTATTTCTTAGCAGCCTTCACAATTCCAAAGTACACTTGGGGCGTTGATAAATGGAAAGCACTCTCTGCTGTGACCCAGATAGAGCCAGGCTTCCATAGTCCACTGCAGATTCACAGTCAAAAGCTAAGGGATTTCACTAAGCTGCTTTTGTTCCCTCTGGTGTCAAGAAAAGAGCAGCAGGTCAGTCTTTTAAAATGGATACTAGTCGGGAGCAGGAGAGCCTGGGCCTAAGTATCCAAGAGAACTAATTTGGAATTTGTAGCTTACTACTCACTAACTGTGTTTCAGGGTGTGACTTTTCCTTCTTAAGCTTTCATTTCCTTGGGAGAAAGTAAAGCATTGTAATTAAAGAGGATGGGCTCTGAGGTCCAACCAAGACACTTGTCATACTGTGGTGGCTTGTGTATTGCTATGATGCTGGAAGTTATGCCATCGGTAATTCAAATACTAGCAGGGTCACCCATGATGGACAGGTTTCAGCACAGCTTCCAGTTACTAAACCAGGCTAGCAATAAAAGCCAGGTAATCTGCTTCTTAAAATTAGCCAAATAAAATGGGTAGAGCCTCAGAACATTATCCAATATAGTGCTGATAAATGAGCTCACTAGGTTGGAAGGCATTCAGAATCCACAGTGGCTATAACAATGGACTCAAGCATACCTGAAACCTAATGGGTGGGCTCCCGCCTGTGCAAGACTCAGGTCAATAAGGAGGCACCCATCTTTGAGGTGCTGAGAAAGGCAGAATTATTGCAGGTCAGCAAGCAAGGAGCTCAGAGACTGTGTCTCAGATCAAGCTGCCCGAAACTAGGGATTTCACAGTTAATAAGGAGCTCTGGTAGCATAGTGCCTAAGGCATCTGACTGCTAACCAGAAGGTTAGTAGTTCAAACCCATCAGCAACTATATGGAAGCAAGACTGGGCAATCTATCTCCATAAAGATTTACCACCTCGGAAACCCAATGGGGGCCGCTGTGAGTTGGAATTGACTCAATGGCAGTGGGTTTCATTTGGTTTGGAAGGAACTCTGGTGGTGCTGTGCCTAAGGCATATGACTGCTAACAGGAAGGTTGCCAGTTCAAACCCACCAGTGGAAGGAAGATGGGGCAATCTACTTCCATAAAGATTTACCACCTTGGAAATCCAACTGGGGTCACTGTGAGTTGGAATTGACTCAATGGCAGTGGGTTGAGTTTAGTTTTATAGGACACATGAGAGTTATAATTATTCATGGATTTCTGGAAACTCATTAATTATGCATTAGGCTCATTAACATGGTGGAGTGTGCAGTGTCATGGCCACTGAGGGGTGTGTTTTTCAGGTTCTGCTGTATATAGGTCAGATAAGGACACGGTCCAGACCTATTGCGTGTTGGTGAACGGGAGCTGTTAGTGTAGTAAAATGCTCTGGATAACTAGCAAGATGTATAGCAGGAACTTGGTTGGTATTTTAGTCTTTGTGGTCAGGCCAGCAGGAGAGGGGCATTCTTATATTATTTCAGTCCTGATGGTCAAGCTACCTGCAGCAGGGCACTCTTAAAAACTAACGATGGTGAAGATGGCACAGGTCCAGGCAACATTTTGTTCTGTTGTATACAGGGTCATCATTACACAGAGCCAACTCCATGGCAACCAACAACAACATGAAGAATATAAACAACAAGCAGATGTAAAGGTAGGGAGGAAAGGTCTACTTGGAACATTATCAGGAAAGGCCCCTGTGAGGAGGTGAGGTAACATTTAAGCACAGACTTGAAGAACGGAAAGGAGTCAGTCATGGGAAGAGGGGAGAGCATACCAAAAACCTAACTGGGAAAACTGCCCAGTTTCTCAGAAGGACACACAGGAAAAAGCTTGTATGGCTGAGACGCGTTAAGGGGAGAGAGTCAAGAGTGGGGCTGCAGAGTTTGGAAGAACCGGCAGAAATGGCCTATTTGTTATTGCTGTTAGTTGCCATCAAATCAATTCCTACTCTCGGTGACCCCATGTGTTATAGGGTAGAACTGGTTACTTGGCTACAATAGGGTTACTTGGCTGTAATCTTAATGGAAGCAGATTGCCAGGCTTTTTCTTACAAGGTATTGCTAGGTGGATTTGAACCACCAACTTTTAGGTTAGAAGTCAAATGGAAAATGTTCATGTTACCCAGGGACCTGAAGAGCCTGTATGACATGGGAAATATATTTTATTCTAAGTGATGTGGGAAGCAGGTAGGCAGAGCAATAATATGACTGAATTTTCCCTGTGAAAAGAACCCTCTGTACATACTGGTTTCAATTAGTGCTACACTTACATAAGATGTCAACATTGAAGAAGATGGGTGAGTGATTCATGAGGCTCTCTGTACTGTTTTTGTGATGTCCTGTAAATGAGGATGCTCAGAATGAATTAGTTCATCAATATATTTAATAACCATTTATTGTGCATCCATCACGTACTAAATTCTATTCTAGGTACTGGAGATACAGATTTGAAGTAGATAAATATTATCCTTGTGCTTGTGTAATGTATAGCTCAGTGTGGGGCAGACAGGGCATATACAGATAAAGGATTAAGATAAATTCAAATAGTGATAAACACTAAAGAGGAAATGAAACAGAATGACCTGAAGGAGAATGATAGGGCTGGGGGAGGGTGGGTACAGTATGAGATGCCAGAATCCCTGGAGGAGAATATGGTGGCTTAAATTAGAATGGGGGCTCCATTAGTCTTCAGCCACAGCTTAGATTGGTTCTTGATTCTTAAATATTGATGTGGGAAGATTGTAAATGTTGGCAGAAGAGTATTAAATTCCCCTAAGATAGAGTACTTTGTGCAGTTCAAAGGTCATAACTACCATGATTTCACTGGATCCTATAAACAGCCCAATGAAAAAGGTAGATGGCATCATCCCCATTTGAAAGTGGGTGTCTTTAAGGTGAGTTCCCCCAGAAGCAGACCCTGGGACAGTAGTCAAGGAAAAGTCGAGGGATGGGGAATTGAAACAGGAAAGGGAAGGAAAGCAATAAACTGTGCATTAAAGATGTTACTGCTGCAGGCAGATGGGACTCAATCATCCCAGAGGAGCTGAGCACAGAACAGAACACATCTCACATATCTCAACCCAGGGTCAAAGGAGCTTTGGTATTAATTCAATGACCTCTGCCAGTCATAGACCAGTGGCTGTTCCTGCAGGGTGATCATTCCCCAGGGCTTTCAGACCAACCTGTGCATGGGCCAGGTGGCTAGAGCAACCACAGAGAGCTTCAAGCAGTGTCGCAGACACTGCCGGTTGGGAGCCATGAGGTCAACATGCTCCACAATGGTTCACTCTTAAGGGATGTTCGCAGACCACAATGACTGCCATGCTAAGGTTCAGCAGTACGAAATGGCCTGATCAACCTAATGCCAGGAAAAAGACTTAAGTCCCTTTCCTTAAAGCCTAAGATATTTTTTTTCCTATTTACTCCCCAGTCCATGTAATTTCACCTAGGTGTCCCCAGACAACAATTTTAATAACAAGAATAAAGTAGTAACTAACATTTATTGAGCACCTACAATGGGCCAGCCATTCAGTTAAGCACATTACATTTAACCACAACTGTACTACGTGATAGGTGCTCGTGTTGCTCCTATCTCACAGTTTGAA